TGGGGCCTCAGCTTTTCATAATGTGTATTAATGACTTGGATGAAGGAATAGAACCTTGTATATCTAAGCTAAGAGGCACAGTATGTTGTGTAGGAGCAGGAAATTACAAAGGGACATAAACAGATGAAGTGAGTATGCCAGATGGAGTTCAATGTGGGAAGTGTGAAATCAAAAGCCTTAAATCCAAGATAGAATATTAGTACCAGTGAATCAAATCTAACTTGTACATGTGCAGAAATCATTAATAATTTGAGCAAATGCGCAAAAATAATCAAAACAATGTGACCTTTTCTTAAAGGAGTTAGAATTCTAAAAGACGTCATGCTTCAGTTGTACAGAGATTTGGTCAGAATCTGACCTGGGATATTGTTTGCAGCATAATGAAACTAAGTAAAGACATATTTGTCTTAGAGGTGGTAAAGCCGACATTCACCGGCAATTCAATGGCTAAATTATAAGGATAGTTGCATGTTTGTGGTTTACATCGCTTTAAGTTTAAGGGTATCTCTCTCCAGGTTTTCAAAATCAAAAAGCAATTTAGTTGGTACAGATGAACCTGGAGCTAGAGACATTACACGAAATATTAGAATTAGAACATTTAGTAATTTCATGAGGAATGCATCTTGTCAAAGAAAAGAACTTAGAAGGGACTTGCGTTTATGTATCTTTCACGATCATTTAATGTCTCAAAGCAACTTAGAGCCGATTAAGTATTTTTGCAGTGCATTCACTGTAGTAGGTAGGAAACATAGGAGCCACATTATGATGCTAATTGAGGGACAAATATTGGCCACTGTTTGGGGATCACACCCCTGTTTTTCTTTGAAATAGTGTCATGGGATCTTTTATATCTACTTGAGTGAACAGTTGAAGCCTCAGTTTAACATAACATCTGAAAGATGGTACCGACATCAGTGCAGCAATCCCTGAGTACTGCACATGAGTGCCAGCTTGGCTTTAGTGCTCTAGGCATGCAGTTATAATGAAAAGTTGGAACATGTCTCTCAATGACTGTAAATGCTACGTAACTATAACTTTAAATCTGAGAACAGTTGATTTTTGTTAGGCAAGGGAATAAAGGGATATGGAGCAAAAGCAGGAAAATGGAGTTGAGGTACACGTGAACCATGTTCTAATTAAACAGAAAGAGACACAAGGGCCTAAATGTCTTGCTCCTGTTTGTACATCCCTAATGTGCAATACACTATCTCAATCCAATTAACTGCTAGCAGGTAATGAATTGTGAATTTTGCTTAGCACTGTTTTTTTTCAATGCATACACAATCATCAATCCAATAGAACTGTCAGAAGGAAATAACTGCTCAATAACATTGAAGATTATTGCTGCCAATCATTCATTGCCTTAAAGGGATTGTTTCTGTGAACATAAAACAATTAAACCTCTAATTTTTTTATGACTTACTGTAAAAATAAATTATTTTGGTGCAGTTATATTGATCTGCAGTGTAAAAATTGTTTCTTTAATTTGCTATAAAGAATTAATTTAAACACAACATAGGCAGATGAATGAAATATTTCCCTCTTTAGTTTCTCCTTTGTGTGGAGTGAGTTTTAATATTATCTTATTGGAAAAGTTAATTTGGAATTTAAAACTGAAAAATTCTAATTTCTTGATAAAATGTTGTGAATATCGTATCATCACTGAATATACCACCAATCTGAATTGGTTATACTTCTAACCAATGTCAGATTCACAGATTATTCTGGAACTATGAAGAGTCAGAAAATTGAGGACATCCAAAGAAACTTTAATTAAAAATTATTATATTATCAATAAGGATAAAATATAAATGTATTTAAATGTTTGAGTTTAAACAGACTGATATAATTTAATTCAGATTCAATGAAATAATCCCTTTAAGATATATACAGAAGATGAATGTTTTCTGGATGCCTTAGATTCCACAGGGGATAAAGATGGTCTGAAAGTTTGTCAATATCACATTTTATGGCTTTGAAATGTGGATGAGATTTAGCTGAATTAGATTTTTACTCACTGAAGTGGATGTTGTTTAAATATTTTTGACACTCCATTACTTGTCTTTTCTTCAAATCAGATTTGCTATTTTTCATAATTATCAATTGTAATATCATGGCAAACAGACACTCAGGTAAAAACTATAGTCATTACATTTGTGTGTGCTTCTCCTGATAAATTCACAGTTATTCATCCAGTATTGAACATAGTTGAAAATATATTACAAATATGATAAAACAATATACTTAAAATATTTCAACACGTTTGGCAGCTAAGCTGTGTAGCCTCATGTTTGGGACAATTAAATGAGTAAATGAAAGTTCTTCTGGCTCATCATCTCCACAATTCTTATTTAATGTTCTAGCAAATGGTTTATAAATGCCTATATGTATAACGAGGATCCTCTACTTCGATGATACAGTAAAAGTCTCTGGCTCCTTGATAAAGTAAATTAAGGTGGATGGCTACGTGCTGAACATTTTATTTTGCTTTGTGTGGTTCTTCAGACCAATCCCATATGTATTACATTCTTGAAGTATCTTTTATAATACATAGTGATAATGATGTGAAATTGGCACAATTATACCAATAATGCATTTTACTCCCTCTGGCAATGTCGTGCAATGAAATATGATGAAGTGTTGCAATGGTTGGAGATTTACAATGTATAATATAGATAACATTTTTGGATAACATTATCATCATCAAGATGGACTGACAAGCAACTATGCAGACACATTCCTGACATCCTTTGGAACCAAATCATTGATTGTAGGTATATGTAAAACTGCATGAGCTCACAATGCTGACTCACATCTGCTGGCTATATCCATATTTAACAGAGCGTACAAGCAACACTGTGTTAAGCAAAAGTATGTAATTTGCAATGCAGCTGTATTTTTGACAAGACATTCAAACATTATATTTTTAAAATGCCAAGGTTATGCTCAACCATCAATCAAATGTTACACTGCATTTCATTACGTTCTTTGTCAGAAGATCAAGGACCTCCCAGAAAGACACAGCCAGTTTCGATCATTACCAAATTATGATCAGTTTTATGCAAATATTGAGTGTAGTTTAGGCCCACAAGGTTTATATAAGAGTGACAAAAGCTTGTCCTCCAAAGTATATACTGCCTATTTACATTGATGTTCTATCAACTTGAGGTGGTTTATTATCTTAAACACATTTATAGGCTGCACTGTAATATACAATGCCAATCCAATAGAATGTAATAAATAAAAAAAAATCATAATACATCCCACAGTTAATCATGATACCCTCTTGATTCATGTAAATTGACTGGGGGTACCTCTAACATTCCATCAGTAGAATGTACCTAACCCAGATGTGAAGTTTATATTACTTCTTTAAAAAATTGCTGTATGTTTCATATAGATGGATTATTCTAAGTGTATGCTTGCAGTCCAGTAATAATGTGAAGAATTAAAAGTTCAAAAGATCAATAATAACAAAGTCTTGAATTTAAAAAGTGCATTGAGCAAAATAAAATGCCGTTAAAGCAACCAAAATCCGCCACCAAATCACATCAGTAGGTATCAAGGCGAATGACTAAAAGTTTGGGCAAAGGTCAAATTTAAGGAGTGTTTTAAAGGAAGGACAGGTAGCGTGGTGGAGAGGCTTAGGGAGGGAATTTCAGACCTTAAGATCTTGGCAGCTGAAAGCACAGCTAACAAATGTGGGGCAATTAAAATTGAAGATTTGGAAGAGTGGAGATATCTCAGACAGTTGTGGGGATGGACGAGATTACAGAGTTAGAGTGGAGAGATTTGTAAACAAGGACGAGAATTTTAAAACTGAGGCATTCCTGCGTCGGATGCTAATTTAGGTCAGTGAGCATAACGGAAATGGGTGAATAGGTCTTGGTGCAAATTAAGACATGAGCATCAGAGTTTTGGATGACCTGAATAGAAATTGGGCAGCTGGCCAGGAGAAAATTGGAGTAGTCAGGTCTGGAGTAGTCAGCAAAGTAACCATAAGGATTTCAGCAACTGATAGACTGAGGCAAAGGTAGAGTCAGCTAACATGGTGGTAGAAATAAGTGACTTAGTAATGGCATGAATGTATGAACATAAGCTCATTTCAGGGTTAAATGTGATACTGAACTTGTGAATTGTCTAGTTCACTTTCAGATATTTGGCAGAAGTTAGTTGTTTGGCAATGGAGTTTCTATCATGAAGCAGACTATAGCTTTAGGTTTTCCAATGTTTAGTTGGTGGAAATCTCTGTTTCTTTAGCAATGGATATCAGACAAGTTGTCTGACATGTTAGACACAGTTAAGAATGGTAATGGTGGTGATGAGATTGTCCTAAAAAACTATCAAAATTAAGGTGAAAGGAAGGCTAGACCATCCAATCTTGAGCCCTTATTGATGTTGCTGTGAGCCAGGCAGAGACAGCTGGATGTGAGAGCTGAATGTATAACTGGGTGAGGAGTCTCATTGTAGCCTCATGGGGAGGAGGCTCGTCTCTATTTCCCAAAAAAATTTAAGATGGAAGTTTTAGTGAAGGAAATTTGAACTTGCATCCTATAACTAACTGAAGTAACATACAACAATGCTCAATGTTTGCACTATTAGATTACTTGGAAAATGTTACTCTTTATAATAAGTGATTCACTGTTTTCCCATTAATGTTGGTGCAGAGTTCAAAGTTATCCGTATGTCACTTGTGATTGAATCTCATGGTTTGACAAGTAGCGATATCAGCAATTGGTTAACTGAATGAAACAGATGAATATCACCCTGTAATATTGATTCTGTAGAGTTGCATGAGACTTCAGGTAGTTATCCAGTCATAGAATAGAGATCCATATTATAGATATGAGAACAGCAAATAAGCAGTATATGAATGTGTGAAAACAATTCAATATTAAACAACAATGAAAGGTTTATAAATGAAAACATATTTCTAATTTAGTACAAGAAAATATGTTTAACTTAGTAAATAATAGACTGTATATTTGGTTGTTTTTTAGGCCTTACCAATGTGGACACTGCTCTCAGTCATTTTCCCAGCCTTCAGAGTTAAGGAATCATGTTGTAACCCACTCCAGTGACAGACCTTTTAAATGTGGGTACTGTGGACGTGCCTTTGCTGGAGCTACAACATTGAACAATCACATTCGAACACATACAGGGGAAAAACCATTTAAGTAAGTAACCTTAACAAGGTACAGTAGTTACCTACTTGAGACCTTTTTTGTGGCTTAACAATGCTTTCTCTGTAATCATTGCAACTTTTTCTGTACTGTATTTTTATTTTATTTTAATCTGAAATCCAATTAAGATAAGGTGTTTTGCTTTGTTGTTGATGACTAATGGAGGTTCCTTGATGGTAGTGAGTGCAGATCTGAATTCCCTAACAAGAAGGGCAATGTCCCTATAGATTTGGGACTAGGTTCAAGGCCTATTTCATTAGATGAACTCGTCACATACGTTTTGGAAATAGAGGCATCATATTTTCTCTTCAATAATATTTCATTATTCAAAACAAAGAGGGTCAGATTGTTGTTCAGATTGGAAATGTATAGGCAAGTGCTGGGGAGCTGAAAATAGAACTTTAGCATTGCAGCAAACTCAAAATAATTCACACTGATAGGCAACTATAGTCAAAAATTGGCATCACAGTCAAAGAACCGCATATGTTAAAAAGTCTTACGTCTGAGCAATCGAAGAATTTGAGTCCTTTAAAAATGACTTCTCTCTAGGAGGGCAATGTTCTATGCTGCAACACCTTAGTATCAGCTATTTTTAACATTGCATAAATTTTTCTTCCCTGGTTAGAAGTATTCATTTCCCAACTGAGATACATACAAACATATGAATATGTGATTAAGAGAATTTAGTGATCATTTGGACACTCAGTCAGGGCACATAATTGATATGATTCACTTGAAAATTTGTGCTCTGTCCAGAGGATCTCAATATAAATTTTGTCATGAAACATTAATTTTCCCATGGCCTTTCAAACAGACATATACTAGTGTGAATTTTGTACTCTGCATGGGTATTGATGCCGACAAAGAATTGACAATTGAAGACTGGCAATCCAAACAGAAATTGTTTTTGACTGACATTACATACATCATTATCTGGTCAATGGTTTCGGTTAGGCAATAGTACAGTCATTAAAAATGGGTGAAAACTTCATTTCAACACTATAGTCAACACAAGCACAATTTCCTGATAATTGTGTCCTTAGGTGTAAAGTAAGCAATTAAGTTCAAACTTAGCATTGGCCTGAGAAATTGAGCTGCTTAAATAGGAAATAACTTTTGTGGAATGTTGACTTGAACTTTGGGTTTGTGACAGTTGGAATTTTGTGTATTTTTCTAGGCTTTAGTCCAAATTATTGCCAGCAGAATTTACGATTGTGACAAGTACACTTTTGTACGTAGGAAATGCAATGGGCTTCACTCTTTTTTGTGTTATTTGAAGGGAGATAAAGAGGACTGAATGTTAGAATCATCAAAGACACCCTTATCTACATAGCTGTGCCTATAGACACAGACATACGTATTTAGGGATGTTGAAGGAAGATCATCTCCCAGGCTGTACTTCACCAGGCTGGCACAGACAGAGTCTTGATATCGGCTCCAAGCTGATGTCCAGACCACCTTTAAATGTCCCTCATACTCATTCCAAGCTGCAAATGGGACCCAGCAAAAGTGGTACCATTTCCACTCCATCAACATCCAGTCATCTTGAAGTAAAAACATTGAGTGAATTCAAGTTTCCCAAAGAACAATCATGGCATCTTCACCTGAAGATATTCTTGTATACATGGACTGCTCAATGGGAAAAGCAAGCAGCAAAGATGTTTTTTTTTGTGATGTTGATTGAGAGATAATTATTGACCAGAATACTGGAGATAACTTCATAGAAATCGTGCCAATAGATTTTTTAATGTGCACTTATAAAAGCAAGCAGGGCCTAGTTAACATCTCAATTGAATGAAATAAAAAACAGTCAAATTGCATTCAGTACAGGCAAGGAATGTATGTGGTTGTTAGGTTCAATGGCCTGATCCTTTTGGTTATGTTTCACAAAAGAGGAACATATGTTGAAATGCTGTCTGAAAGCATATCTGCCCTTTCAACAGCAATTAACTAATAATGAGGACCATGTGCTGGAGTGCTCAAAGAATGCAAATGATTGAATAGTTGACTGCCTGGCGGATAAATCAGGGAGTTGGAAGAATAAAATGTAAAGGAGGACACTAATCCTGAGAATTGAAGAGGCTCCTGGCTTCATCATTGTCTTCAACCTTCTCGTATTTGAAGTTGCTAAGCACGGCCTATTCAAACTATCTTAAAGGCCCAAAACTGGGGTTCATTCTCTGTTTGGGTTTCTTTCTTTCTGCTGCATGCTGCCCTGTGTAACAAGCAGTGAAGTTGTGTTGAGTGTTGAAAGTTTAGATGAACTTTAGAACGATGTATTTCATGAATCTTCAACTTGGAGTCTTAGTCAGGGTTTAGTGAGGTGAAAGAAAACATGCTGTGGTGTTAAATTATAAACCCTTTCACCTGGTATAATGTCCTTTGAGGAGGGCTTGATCTAACCTACATGTGATAGTAATGTGGTTGACTCATAATTGCACTCTGAAATGGCCCTACAAGACCTTTCAGCTCAAGAGACAATTGTTGATGGCCTATAAATGCTGGCCCAGGCCTTTCAGTAACAGAAAAGCAGCGTTCGTATCTTTAACCAGCCCTTTGCCAATCAAGCAGACTGTTTATAGGGCATCTGCAGTTTTTCAGGAGAAGTAATTCATCTTGGAATTGGTTGAGCATAATTCATTAGCTTGACTTTGTAAAAGTTGGCAAAGTTGGTCCAGTATAAAATTTACTGGAACTAAGCCCTGCCACTTCAGTGCCAGCTGGGAATATTTACTCTGTTTATTGTCACACTGAGGTGGTAAATCATACAGTGTCTCAAAGTAGTTGTTGGAATCAGCACAGGTAAGTTCATTCCAAAGTTGTTGCCGATGTGTTTCCAGCGTTAAATATGCTAGAGGAACAAAGTCCAAAAAATAAACTTTTATGCAAATTCACTAACACATTCTAATTTGTACAAAAACTAAATACTGCAGATGCTGGAAATCTAAAATAAGAACCGTTCTACTGAAAGCTCAGTGACCCGATACGTTGTTTCAGTTTTGATCTACAGATGCTGCCTGACCTGAGATTTTACAACCTTTTTTTGTTCTTATTACATTTTAAGCTGTTCCAAGTACCGATGTACTGCAGACAGCTGCCTCTGGTACACTGTAAACCTTAGGAAGATTCATGGAAACACTTCAACAATCTGATTGATTTTAACCAAGTTACTGTGTAAATAGATTTTTATAATTAATTGAAGAGGTTTCAGGGTCAGAATGGAAAATAGATTTCTTTTAATCTGAAGGCGTTACTTACGATGACCTTGTTGGTGCTTTTTTCAACACCTTATTCCTGTCATCCATTGAAAAGTGTTATGATGCAATAGGGGACTTATTGTGGCAAAGCCGGTGATGATGTTCCCTAAACTGTTAATAAATTTTATTGCTAATTTTTGGAATGCATCAAAATATTGTAATTCTTCTGAAAATTAAATATACGGTGGCAGTTTGCTTCAGAGAACCGGAGTTGATTCCAGCCTTGGGTGATTGTCTGAATGGAGTTTGCACATTCTCCCTGTGATACATAGGTTTCCTCTGGGTGCAGTGGTTTCCTCCCACAGTCCAAAGATGTGCAGGTTATGTGGATTAGCTATAGGTAATTACCCCATAGTGTATATGGACGTGCAGGCTTGGTGGATTGGCCATGGTAAATGTAGAGTTACAGGTATAGGGTGGGGGCTTGAGTCTGGGTGGAATGCTGTTCGGAGGGTTGATGCAGACTTGATGGGCCAAATGGCTCCTTCCACACTGTGGGGATTTTATGAGGTATATATATATTAAAATAAATGAAGCTTGACAACTTTTAAGTAACCTGCTTAATTATCCGTTGATAATTCCCAGAAAAATTACTTCTCTTAAAGGCTGCAGATGCTGTGTAAAGGGACTCATAAATGCTTGATGGGCGAAATTTGATAGGATTAGTCAAGTAGACACATATTGTCACTACAGAAATTTTGTTAAATTGTGATTTTAAGAAAACTAAATTGAGCATGTTACATAAAAAGAAATGGAATTCAGGAAAGTGTTTATTCAAACAGTACTTCTTTAGATGGATTATGTAGGAGCTGGAGGGTCATGTTGTGGCTGTACAGGACATTGGTTAGCCCACTTTTGGAATACTGCATTCAGTTCTGGTCTCCCTGCTATAGGAAGGGTGTTGTGAAACTTGAAAAGGTTCAGAAAAGATTTACAATGATGTTGCCAGGGTTGGAGGAATTATGTCACAGGGAGAGGCTGGGGCTATTTTTCCTGGAGCTTTGGAGGCTGAAGGGTAACCTTATTAGAAGTTTACAAAATCATGAGGGGCATGGATATGGTAAACAGACAAGGTCTCTTCCCCGGGGTGGAGGAGATCAAAACCAGATGGCATAGGTATAAGGTGAAAGGGGCAAGATTTAAAAGGCATCTAAGGGGCAACTTTTTCACATAGAGGGCAGTGCGTGTGTGGAATGAGCTGCTGGAGGAAATGTTTGAGGCTGGTACAATTACAACTTTTAAAAGGCATCTGAATGAGTATATGAATAGGAAGGGTTTGGGGGATATGGACCAAATGCTGGCAAATGGGACTAGATTAATTTAGGATATCTGGTTGGACTGAAGGGCCTGTTTCCGTGCTGTACATCTCTAATACTCTATGACTATATAAGACCTCCTATTGCTAAGAATGAAATCCAAATATTTATTGAAGCTCTAGTAAACAAGAGTAGGGAAGAGGAGGTCCCAGGTACATAGAACATAGAACATTACAGCGCAGTACAGGCCCTTCGGCCCTCGATGTTGCGCCGACCTGTGAAACCAATCTGAAGCCCATCTAATCTACACTATTCTATTATCATCCATATGATACAGAAATCAGAAACATTTGGTGGAGTAGGTGAAAGGACTCCAGACAGGTAGGTGGGCGCCTAGAGAAGTGGTTAAGACGGGGTCCCTGAGACAGGAATCAACAGCATCGAGAAGAGACAGTGAGAGGAGGATCTCAGGACAGTGATT